TCCTGAGTTGCCTGCCCCTTCTTCCAGAGGTTTTGTTTAACCCTGTCTCAAAATAGAGCTCCAAAAAGATCTAGGCTACGTTTATACATACCCTCTGCCACACTTAGCAGTACCGGCAGTGAAACTGCATTTGGGAGAAACCACAGGTCCCCTTCCATTCCAGCGGGAGCCTCAGGCTGATCACTCTGCTCTGTGCAAGGGCTTCTCTCCCCATGGGATTGCTAACAGGGGCTCTATTGGTATTGACTACAGCACTAGCTTTTGCAATAACACCCTCCTGCTAGAGGAAGGGCTATGTCTGAGTACTAATTTAACTAAGATTGCCTACCAGCTTTGGACAATAAAGCATGGTTACTGCTGACTAGGTCTGGCCTGACTTCAGTATGAATTGTTCTACATCATATTTCTAACTTTTGACTCAGCAATCAGCATAGAACTTTGCCTTAGCAACAGTAAAACTGGATATCATTGCCTCTGTAAAAAGTGCTTGTTATATTTATGGGGTCATTTATCTTACAAGGAAATGCACTGGCCATCTGGGAAAGGCTGGACATTTTACAAGTAGCTCCATCCAAAGCTTACATTGTCCTGTCCTATTCAGCAAGCAAAGCACACTTGCTGAATACATTTTCTGATATAAAACCATTATGTTATGGCATGTACTCTTCATCATAGCAAGAAATGTTAGAAATACTGATGGATGAGAAATCAGATGGACAGGGCTAACCAACTGACAAATGGTGTCAGATGAATTTTCAGTAGAATTACTTAAAAACCCTCCAGGGTTAACCACCATCCATTCTCTGCTACAACGGGGAAAGCCGCCTTGCCGACTGGTTGTCCCACTTGATTACATATACTGGTGAAATGCTGACTTGTACATATTAAGAATTAACTTGCTTTTTTCCTTAGTTATGCAAAGTGAAAAGTATTTTCTAAGTATGTAAGTAGACATCATATAAATACAATAAATACAGACTTTTAAAGTTATGAATTATTATTATTATATAGCTTAAAACCAGAGTACATCAAAGAACCTGAAAGAAGATCACAGGAAACGACACTAAGATGTTATATTTTTACCAAGCATTAGAACTCCACAGATTTAGAGATAACATTACACTATATAAAGAACCAAACATATTTATATATTGAGGAAAAAAGCAAATGAAGGAAATTGTAATTTTGTCCTGTGCTGACATAATGAAATAAGTATGTATGACCACAGGATTTATCATGTATACTTCCAGGTTAATTAATTAGATTAATCTTTAGGGCAATAGTTTTAGAGAAGGAGTCCTCCTACTTCCCTTCTTGCCATGCAACATTTAAAAGAGGTAATTTGATCTAATCTCAAGCATTGATCTTATTATATTTTAATTTTACGATTAAGAGTAAATTGAAAGCCCAGTAGAGTACAGAAGAGGTGGTAAAAGATTTTAACCCAAATCAAATGGATGCATTTCTCAACCCAAATTCCAGTTAAGTATTTGCTGCAAACAGAATTTCTGAAGTATGTGCTTTTAAAATGTAGATATGAACAAAAGTCAAGAGGCCTAAAAGTATTAACAGGTTGCTCTACTTACAGATTTAAGTAATAAAATAATTTAACATCTACATTTTTTCATCAGTTTCCCTGAAACTGTTTTAAGTTAAAGTTAAGACTTAAGTTTTAAGTCAGTAATGTCAATAGGTAGCAGACAAGTCACCTACCGACTCTGAAAATCAAATCATCTTCAATGGGATTCTCTTTTCTTTTGCCAGTGCTGTACATGCTCGCAGGTCTCTTCACAGCTTTCTGCTTCACATGACCACTGCCAGGAGATTTAACACGCCTCTTAACCCCTTCAGTGGTAGGAGACACATCTGCTGATCTGACCACTTTAAGTTTGAATGGGCTGCCCTTGATATGTTGATCATAAAGTCTCAGTGACAAAGTGAAGTCCCCTTCTTTCTGAACAGTATACAAAAATTCGTAAGTGCCATTTTTATTGTCAAGTATTTCTCCATCCGCTACACTCCCATCAGGTGTGCTCAGTTCAGCAGTGAGGTAAGCGTTCCCAGATTTACAGAGCTCCCCATCTTTGTCCTTAGTTGTGATGGTAACAGACATGGGCTGCCCGATCACTGTCTGCCTCAGTCCCTCACCTGTGGCAACTGTTTCAGAGGCAACAGCATTGGTGGTTAAAATAGTACCCAGATTGTGAATGGACTTCTTCAGGCCTTCCGTTTCCACTATGAAGTCCAACTGATCGTTTTCACGGGGCTGCAGTGGGAAGTCCCGCTCGGCCAGTTCATTCAGCTTGTCACTCATTTGCTTCTTCACCAGCAGAACTTCAGTTTCGGTGCCGTGGTTAAGGGCTTGGGCTGTAAAGTTGCTGCAACTTTTAATGCTTTCTTGTCCTTCAAGTAAGGTATCCAGCTGTGTCTGGAGGACCTGTGTGCATTACCAAACACCAGATTAGCATCATGTCTCAAGAACTACCCTAGCAAGATGTAGCATGCCTTATATCCAAAGGCCTTTGTAGAAACCCAATTTATAGGGCTTTGTTTTAGAGTTTATTTTAAAGTTTCATTTTAGAAAAAGTAACACACTGATCCCCTACATGTTCTTGGAATATCATTCTGCAACACAAAAAATGTACCCTGTTTTGGGTCTTCAAGGCTTCACAGATCCATTGTCATACCAGATTGAATTATTGCCTCACCTATCTGTTTTGTCATCTTAAAAAAAAAGAAAACAAACAAAAACCCCACAAATGTAGAAGCTTGAACCCTGCTCCATCTAACTCTCAGCAGTCGCAGTTAATGAGATAGTTACTGGGAACTGAGCTGTGTGCAGAGATAGAGATATTTTGGAGTCATCAGGCCCATTAATACGGGAGGCTGCAAGAAATTTCTTGAAACCATTTCTTCAGAGCCAAAGGAAACCTTGGGTTACTCCTCTATGTAGACGGACAAGAAGGCACTCTCAAGATCTGTACATCCATCCTGAGGAAAAGTGTGATTCCTGATCAAAATAAGTGAAGAAAGGAAAAGTCTCCCTAGGAGAAGCGGGTAAGTTGATTCCTCAGTTTCAGCAGGCAGGAAAGCAAAACGTAAAGGATGAGTTATGGATATTGGGAAGAGCTGAGTTGAGTAGCCTGAAATTGTGGTGGGCACAAAGTAGCTACTCTATATTTAAGAGTGAGAAAGAGCTTTTATTATAGGCTCAGTTCTGGCCCTCAGTCTAAAATCCTTAAAACAGTATTGACCTCAAAATTGTTCGGTGTGGGCTGGGAACAAGGCTAGCTTTTTTTTTTTTAAAACCAGTTTTGCTATGAATTGGAAAAAGGATCCCTGAATTATAACAACCAAGCAGAGAAATTCATGACAGTCAGGAAAGCCCAAACATTCCACTGTCGAAATCCCTAAACCAAACTACCTAGTCACACATGTGGTATGTTTTTCCTACAGAGAAAAACTAGGGCAGAGACATTACTGTGGGTCAGAGAAGTTATTTTGTTGACCGTCACTGTAAAGTAAATATTTTTTAAACATTGCAATTGATTTTAATGTAAACTTAGAGACTGGGTGTATTTATTGCTATGAGATACTCTTTCCTTGCTGAGACATACCCGGTAATGACACTGCATTCTAAGGGCATTTTTCTTATGAATTTTTCAAAGCTATCTGCTTTTCACCCACTGGAGAAAATCCAGGCTGATGAGCTACTGGCACGGGGAAAGTGATAACACCACAAAATCTTTTGCAAGAAAAACAGAATGAACAAATTTCAAGACTACACTGACATTTCAAGTTATCTGTTTTTCCAGGCATCTATAAACCTCTCAGGATTCAATACATGGCATTTCTAAGCTGTGTTGTCTTTATTCAAGGACATAAGTAGTTAAAAAGCATAGCTAATAAAGTCCCAGGATGACAAAAACCCATATGCTTGGGATAACAAACCACAAACTGAGGAGGAAGACAATTTGCAGCTACATTTTAAAACCATTATTTTCTCAATATAGTTTTCTTTCATTACAAAGATGGAAAATATTACATCCTACCATAACTAATATTTAAAATATGTTTAGAGTATTTTACACAAGGCCTCTTTCAGTCCATTGGACAACTGAAACTGAATCACCAACTTTCTTTTAGTGAAGTGTAGCCCTTTAATTTTTTCATTTTTGCAAAGTGCATGATCAGAATGATAGAAGATTTGTGTCTGAATTATTTTGCAGGTCTACTATTCATTCAAAAGTAAAATCCAATTCCAATAGCTCCTTCCCCCCGCCCCCAATGGGTGAGATGCCTCTTTTACTGCTTATGTTCAGCTATGTAAAAATTTGGTTCTCTAACACCCAAAATAGTTTTTAAACTATTTTAAATCCCTTTAAGCAACAATATGAAACTTTATCATCATCATATTCCATTTTGTGTGAACTTTGTACACACCCTGAGTATATTTATTTGCTTGCCAATAAAATAAGTTTTTGTGACATCTTGGATATGTTTAGATGAACCTGGGATCTAAGTCCAAATTTTTGATGCTAAAAGCTCCTCAGCTGCTGCTTAGCTCTGCAGATAACTAAATTCTGTGCTCCAAGGGTTTGGGGCTCCCTCTGCTCCTGAAAGTATACATCTTGTGCACATGTTAGAATTCCTCCATTTTCACAGGCCCAGCAGTTCAATACCTTCCTAATGGTCAAGCCTGTTCCAGATCCAGGAATGCAGCATTCCTCTGCTTCAGACATCTGGAGATGTTCAAGCTGCTCACTAATCGCAGAGAATGCCCAAAGATGCCAATATTATCAGGCACTCTTGAAACTCCAGTTACTGATGCTACTTTCTTTTAGAGACTACTTTGAAGGAAGAGTTCTTTCTTTTATACAAGACAGACAACTCATGCCCAGGAAGATGACGACTAAATTCTTTCATTTGCCTGATTCAGACTTACTAATCCTCAACAAAAACCCTACCCACCAGGCTACAGGCTTCTCTTTCTAAACGTGCAGATTTCTGTTTTCTTCCTCTGAAGCTTAGTCTACAATGCAGTGGGGAAAAACACAAGACTCAATCATCCATATAGGAAGGAAAGGAGTGAATACAGCTCTGGAATCTATTGCTCTTTGCATTCCCCTAAGAAAGTGAGATGTCCCTCCAATCTTCGTGTGTTACAACCAGTGACATCTAACATGAAATATATTACCAGGCATTTGAAAAGAAAACAGTGCTTTAAAGAAAAACCTTGATCACTTCAGGAGAAATGGTTTGGCCTGTATCTTTGTGGGGATGTTCATTGGATTGCAGCCCAAGGATTTCAGACTTTCCTTTGGTGCTCCCTTATTGTCATCCGCACAGCAGCATGTTGGCCTAAAGCAGATGCCTGCTTAGTGTGTTGGCCATTTTAGATCCACACACACCATGCACAAAGGGCTACCTGCCTGTACAGGGTCTGGATTCCATTTATAAGGCTGGGGACCCACAAGCGACGCTATGCAGCATTTGATTTCAGGAAAACAAAGTTCTCCTCTGGATCTCAGACACAATTTGTCAAACCGGCGTCCCGCATCATTTGTAAAAACTGGATGATTAAGTTAACAGCTTTTCATTGAAACAAAACATGCATCTTACTTTGTGTTTAAGGCCATAATTCACTTCCAGTTCCATTAGCAGCACACTCTTTCGCACATTTAAAGTCTTCTGGAGTTCATCAAAAGTGGAATGAATGTCATCTACAATGCTAGCCTTTTGGTTGGTTAACTGGTGTATGATTTCCGATATAAAATGAAGTGCTGAGTCGATCTCTGGAAGCCTGAGGGAGGGATTAAATTACAAAGGTTGCTGTTTCAAAAGTCATTAAACATCGGCCCTTACCCTGACACCTTTTGATGAAACAATCTCATCAACAGGCTGTTTTTAAACTTGGTCATTTCCCAGAAGTAAGTTCATTCATTTTATAACCACATAGTGGTTTTGGTCTGATAAAACAAGGCTAAGCCAGGGCCCTCCCTTGTGGAAATCCATTAGATTTTAGGCATTTCCAACAACGAGGCCCTGGATCTTCTGTCCTTTATGCAAATGTATCTACTCGGGAAGCTATTAACTAGATCTACTCTGCTTTTTCTTTAGCCTTTCTGCCACCGTAATGTTTGTACTAGTCTTTTAAGCATCCAGTATTACTTATTTATCATTAAATTCATGACTGGCTAGTACTTTCCTCCTTAACATTCTATGCCCCTTCTTTGGAGGACACTTGCATTTCTAATGGCCTCTGTTCTGTGAAAGACAGATAGGAATCTTTTGCTCTTTTCCCTAATCCCTCAGTGCATCCCAGCCAATGGAATTTTTTTCCTCATGCTAGCCTCCATATCCCTGTTTTCTTGGTAAAGGTCCATGGCACCAGCACAAAACATCTATCCAAGGTAACACAGGAAGCCAGTGGTAGGACTGAAAATGGAAAATAATCAGTGGGGTCTCCATACCTTTTGTTGACAGCGTCCAACTGGACTTGGAGGGAAGCCTTGTGTTGCTCCACCACATCCTTGAGTGGTACTGTGGGATGCTCTGCGTGTTCTCCCTCTGTACACTCCCTGCACATGGCTGTCTCGCAGGACTGGCAGTAAAACTCCATCACCTGGAAAAGTACACAACTCTAAATTCAAACATGGTAGCAGTCACATCACTCAAAGCATGTTTTACTGGGTCTTGAACTCGTTATTATCCAAGCTCCGAGACAGTTTCTCCTTTCTTAGACATCAATAATATACTGCCTAAAAGATGGCTGTTACTCTTATATATTTCATATCAAAATGTTGGTTTAAATGCATTTTATTCTATCAGAAAGTGTCAGAACAGCAGCCTGGGAAACAGAATGCTGGACTTCAAGGCTGGCCCTAACATCATCTTTATACTGTATAATAGTAAGTTTTGATGTGTCTCTCAACTACTCCGGAAACAACCCAAAAAAACAGGGCATTCAAGTCCCCTTAGTAACTTGATCCTTAGTCTTCCCAGAGGGTCTGCCAAAGAAAGTGTAAACTTAGGCTGTTTTTCATAACAGGACCACCTGTGGAACATGAACACAACAGAGTTCACCAAACAACACGTTTATTTGCTAGAGAAAAGCACCCTAAATGAACTAATGTGCTGCAGCAAAAAATCTCCATATTCCATTACTAATCCCTTAAAACCATCAAAACCTCATATCTGAGATTATAAGAAAAGTACTGATCTACACTTGAAAGAGGAGGAGATTGTTTCAACCTGTTATGTACCCAGTAAGATGCTGTCTGGAGATGAAAAAAGATCTTTACATGTAATAAATACCCCAAATTCTGAATATATTCATAAAGTAAAAGAAACAGGAAAGTGCCTTGCCCAAAATCATACATTAGTCAAAATAATGCACATATATGCAAATTTGACATGAGATTTTCTTTTACAGCTAGGAAGTCCTTGAGCACAAAGCATTTTAGGCTTATTAAAAGTATATAAGGAAGCTTGTAGTATATGCTTCAAAGCAAGACATTAGCAGATCTCTTGCATTCAGAATATAGCATCAGAATCTTGAATAACTTGGCTGATGCGTCTGGCACTCAGATCTCTCACACAAAGATGGTTGTGGTGGAGATGTTGGTTGACAACACGATGGTTGTACAGAACTGGCTGTTTTCAGGTGAGCAGAGGGACCTGCAACAGCACCGTGCAAAGTAGCTGGCTGCTCCAAGACATCTTGAAAATTAGGAGGGGAAAGTAAGAACCATGATTTGCATGTGGCTATTAGCATTAATAGGGATTTTCTTCTGACAAGCTCCTTTCTGCCTTATTCCCATTCTTCCCTCTTATCTCAATTCACAAGATATGGGATTCACACGCAATGAGGGTTTAGTCATTTGTTGGCCATTCGTGTAAGCCACTTCAGAGAGTATTCAAAAGCTGCTTCAAAAGCTGCTCCAAACTGTGTAAGACCAACTATATAATCAAGGGGGGGGGGGGGAAGTAGACTTTCTAAACAATGACAACCCCCATCAGCACTACTCCAGTCACTGTGAATTTAGCAGTCTCACAGCAGTAGATCCTCTGAGGCCTGGCAGTTACTTTGTTAGGCATTAAGATGTGATGCAGTTTTACACTGCGTAGAGGAAATGAGTTAAACAGACTTTAGGATTTAAATTCTATTCAAAAGTTTCAAAAATCTGCAACGAGAAACGACTAAAAGGAACAATATTTTATTAGGAAACTTGTAAGTCTCTTTATAGGATCAAAAAATTTAATTTCTTTTGAATGAGTGTCAAAGGTTCATTTTTCTGCTTCTTCATAATTTAATGCTTAGGTTCAAGATATTTTAACAAGCCCTTTACTTATTCAATATTTTTATCTTTGGATACAATGATTAGAATAATTTAATATTTCTGTTTCCTATTGAACACCTCATAATAAACATCATTATATTTGCAGCAACATATATAAGAAAGTAAGCATCTCATCGGCATATTAAAGTTTAGCCTAATCAACTTTCTTCCTCTTTATTCAAGCGCCAGAGAATCACATAAGCTAGAATGGTAATAGCAAGCAGACCACAAAGACCTAATGTGTGTGTCTGCATAAAAATAGTCGTCTTCACCTCAGTCAAATTCAAAATGTTTTGAGTGAAGCAGCTTTCATTTTCCATTAAAATCTTTCGATTGTGCCATAGCTGAAGGAGAAAGAAAACATAACATTAATACAATCCAGGCTTCAAGTGCCTAGATAAGCTGATTTCCTAAGATTTTGTCTAGCATTTCTTAATCAGGCAAGATTAATTTCTAACTAAAGACAGACATTACTGGTTTTTCCTCTCTGTGCTCCATGCCCAACAGAGGCATCAGATTTTACATTTCCAGAAAGCTTTTCATGATAACAGGTTTGCTTTACAAAACATCTCAGACAAAAAAGTTCACCTGAACCCCTCCTTTCCAAATTGAAACTTCAGCTATATTTCCACTGAAGTCAACAAAAACATTCCCATCAGCTGTAATGAAATGTGAATTAATACCCACTGGTTCTGAAATACCATCCACCAACTCCCACGTTAAACCAGACCAGCATATTTCAGCACAGTGATCTAATCAGAGACCTATGCATATCTTCACTATTGTAGTTTAACTGAATTTACAGACACTTTTTAATTTGCATAATCAAGGATGTAGGTACTTCTGAATTAGATTTCACAAAGCCAAAGCACACTTAATTCCAGCTCTTCAAAGTTCAGGTCTCAGGAAAAAGGCTCTCTCCAATCACAAGCCCCCCCTCGCTAAAATGACATTTGAATAATCACATTGTTCATCCTCCGCTTTCTATTTGTTTGAATTAAAACAGCAGTCCAGAGAAAAAGGATGAGTCTGCTCTTTGCCAGCCTTCTTCCTCATCGCACACACATGCTTAATTCCTCTGTCCCAGAGCTAGTGTGTATCTTAGCTTTATAGGTTTTGGCTTTTAGAAGAAAGTAAGTTTGGGTTACCTGAGGGCACTTCCCAGATACCTGGTAAAATTTAGAATGTGGGGTTTTGTTCTCCCTAGTCATAGCTTTTGCCTTACCCATGCAATAAACCTGAAAACTTTAAGCAAATTTTTTTTAAAAAGTTTTGTAAGACTGTCATGATTTAAACAACATGCTTACGTACAAGTGAACCACCCAAATCCCTTGTATGACTTTCCAGTTCAGTCAGATATGATTGTATCACTCACACTATTGCTTCCTAACTGTATTAAATATTGCTTGTGAGGCAGAACAAAGTATCGCCAGGAGTGAGCTCAGTTTATTAGTTCTAATGCTTATCAAGAGTCTAACTTTGATATTGTGAATTGTTTATTTAGCTTCAATGACACACTGAATATTGAAGGGTACAGAAAAAATGAGATTACACTTTAACGAGATACACAAGTAAGTGACATGGTGGGAATTACAGAGGTGAGGAGAAAAAACAAGGCTTAAAAGGTATGTTATGAAATCACTTCATCAGAATATCAAGGATGGGTGCTTTTTGATTTTTCTAAGAGAAACATACAGAGTAAGCAACACCTGAAGAAGTTCAGGAAATGTTTTTCTAGACAAGATCTTATACCTGTCTAGTTGCCAAGCTATTCTGTGATCTTTTGAGAAAAAGCTAGTCAGACAGAAGGCATGCTCTCCTGTTACAAGCGTTTAATTTAATACTAGGTATGCTCTCTTGTTACACTCTACAGGCAGAAAATACAGTGCACCTGTAAAAGCATGGATCCCAGACTGTGGTCTGGCTTTCACTTTAAATTCAAATAAAACCCAAGTATGGATTTTTCAGGATGGGTGACTGCAAAGAGGCCACACCACTCACAACATATTACAAAGTAACAGACCTAGAATTTCACAGACTTCCCTGCCCTAGCAGTTGTACCTGCTCCTAAATGACTGTAGATCAATGTTTCCAAACCAGGGTGCTTATATCCAGCAAAAGCTGCAGGTGTTTAGCAGCTGAGAATCAAGACAATCTTCTTTTAATGTGTAGGTAGAAGATAAGAATCTTCTGTTAGGTTCAAAAGTTCCGTAACATATGTGCCCTATTACCCCGATTTAACAAGAACATATATTTGTGTTCTGTGTTGGGTGAATATGAGGAAGCATTTGTTCATAGTTCAAGCACAGGAAACCATCTCTTGTGTTAAGATACTACAAGCCAAGTTTCATTTTTCATAAGAACACACACAACAAAGATGTCACGACAGAGGATGAGAGGATATGCACAGAAGGAATAGGATACATACACACATATGGAAAATATGAGTGGTGGGAGTAAGAGACCAACTGGAAGGGAAAGTATCTAATCTACATGGCCTGAGGAGGGCTAGGTTACAAGCAGACAGGCAAGCCAATGAGAAAGTATCTGTGCATCAGTTTCTATCTGATTTTAATCAGAGAGGTTTAAATCCAGCATGGCTGGAAAGATTGAAAAAACTTGTTTAAACAGAAACTTATTTCCAAGCTAATACAAAGAAAATCTGGTAATATTTAAATTAAATATACTTGATGCAAATTTTTCTGTTGATGGTAAAAATACAATGGGTCTGACCCTACCCCAAGCAATACATAAAAATTCATGGACAGAGGATTCAATGCAGAATGACTGCTGGTTCCATGAAGGCATTATCCTCCAGCTACCGCCTCAATCCTCTCTCACTCCCTGAAGCCCCTAGCAGAGCTGCTAGCAGCCAGGCACTTGCCACACAGTGCCTTCATGCTGTGTACCCATGAAGCCAGCAAAAGCCATGCTGTGTTTCAAGGCAAGCCAACTAAGTTTGGTTTAGAGGATTTACAAAGCCACCTTTTCCTAGAAAGGAGTTCTTAGAGAGATATAAGGTGACATATTTTTAATTGTAGGCAAACCATTTTTTTCTAACCACACCCAAAGAATCATCAGATAATAATGTAAAATGCAAAACAAGTAACATCTTCATTTTAACTTTTTTTTGCATTTCACAATCAAATGGCTCCTATCATGATTGCTATATCAGAAAAGAACTATGATTAATTTTAAGGAGAGCCAATAAAATGCAAATAAAAACTAGGAATGTATTAATCAGTAACCACTACGCACACACAGGTATAGTACACATTAAAAAAGTTACAGCAGTTATTCATTAATCAGAGTGTACACCAAATCAGTTCTACAAGACCACCTAATTCCAATAGGTCAGTAAGGGAGAGGGAACCGAGCCGTTCCTCTATAAGAGTAATCACCACCTATCAGATGAATTATTCCTATACAACTGATATACCTACACTGAGTATCAAATAAAACAGTCCCCAGAAAGTTGTCTTAAAATACTGGCACATATTTCTTGGCTTGCAAAGAAGCACAGCATTCAGTTTACAATGCAGAATTGCTCAGCTTTGCAACGTGGTCTACTTACATGTTTGCATAAGCCTGGCTATGAGACAGGAGCTCATATGCCTACCATGAAGTCACACAGATTAACACTGAAAATTGTGAAGTAAGCAGAGTTAGAGCTGTTCTTGTAATAACCTGGGAGTACTTACTGAGTTGGGGGAACTTGCCAATGAATACACCGATATGATTTGAGGGTGTATGTGGGGGGATGCTGGGCAAAAAAAGTAGGTGGAGGGAAAAAACAAAGCAGCCTCCAAGGACTGATATGTGAGATGCACAAAACACTGCAGATAACAGAAGCTCTCTGTTTCTAGCCTGTGCTGACCCTAAGCAACCTGAGTTAGGACACCCTTTTATTTGGTTCCATCTTAATATGTTCACATAGCTTTTGGTACTGCCTCAGTGTGTTGGTCAGTTAAGCTTATAAGGTCCCTGCCACATACTGCCTAAAGAAGCACACAGCTTCCCACAGCAATAGTTGATTCTACAAGCAAGAGAAGAGCTATGGAAACCCATTCCAAAGAGGCAAAGGCACAAGGTTCAGTGTTTGCAGGACAACATTTTTGACTGAAAGTGCTAAAAGACAGTATCATCCAAGATGATTGGTAAGGTGAAATAATATTAAGGTGCTCCACTAAAAGCATTTGAGTTCATTTTAAGAATCACTTGCCTTTTGTTGACATATAAAATCAAAGAACTAGTGTCATTCCAATTCCCCCACTACCTTTTTAGAACAAAATATCCATGACAAACCAATACATATCAGTACCCGTACATATCACAGGAGTTCATCTCACTTACATTTCCATCATGATTGGGGCAGGAGAGCGGTTTGCCCGCAGCAACAGCGGTGACAGTCTCCAAGATGGAGGACTCTTCAATGCTGTTGTCTGGTGTTCGTTGCAGGACATCCATCAGGTTGGTGATAAAGAAGTTGTTCTGGAGTGCAGAAACCCCTTTCTCTGGCAGAATGGAGGTCTGGCGGCACACGGGGCAAGAAAGGGTTAAGCTATGGGCTGGAATGTAATTCTGCAAGCACCTATGGGGAAGGGAGGTGGAAGGGGAGAGAGAGGCAAAGCATCATTAAAAGAGGAAAAAAACCTCCCTTCAGTTTAAGAATTGGTTTGAAATAGTGATACCCCTACTTATAAAAGGAAAGGTACATCACCAGGCTTCAGAAGTAAAAGTGGCTATGAGGATTTTATTTTTCCTTTAAACCTTTTTTCCTCTGCCACATGAAAAAAAGGTTCAATAAGCTGACATCATTATAAGAGCTACGTGCCTTTCTTCGAGATATTTGTGCAGAGCGGATCCATGCTTCCAGGCATCTACTGCATCCTGCTCACAGGATAGTAAAAATGATAAACTATCAGATAAAGTTTGACAGACATGAAGTTATTGCATCAAGTATTTCAGCCTGTGTCTTTAACTGACTAACCGGTGGTTGACCCTTGTCTTTCCAATAGAAACTCCTTTATTAACTTGTATTTGTACATTTAATGTTCTGAGCTAAAACCTGGTCCCAATGAAACCAATGGAAATTTTTCCATTTATTTCAATTAGGAAAGTTATAATTCAGCCAGAATTAACAGAGCTCTCCTTACTACATAGAGAAGCACGTCCTAGGTTATCATAGTTTATGTTAAAGGGAGTTTTGGAGGAGATTTTTGTTTGTGTTTGACTGGGGAGGTGGGGTGTAGGGTTTTTTTAAGAAAAACTAAATTTCTCAGAATATAAATCTGACACAAAAGTTCTGTGATCAACAACATGCAGCAGACTGGCCTAGGTGACAGTTAGTGCTACTTTTGGCCTTGAAAATCAAGTTAACAGCTGCTGGGCATGCAACATCCAACTGCAGTTGGCAATTCAGTATAGCCTCCTAAGCAGAGAAGCCTGGCAGGATGCAGTTCTTAAGGGGAGCAGTGCTACACCAAATTCCTCATGAGAGGCCGACCAAGAAAGTGTGACCTCGCACAGCTATGCGGCTCTTAGCCACTTCCAAGGACTTTGCTTGCACCACTCTTCATCCTCCTTTGGCAGCCCCCGCTCCTGACACTCCAGTAAGGGCTCTGTGAAAGGAGAGCTTAGGCTTTGCACATCAGCAGTACACTGGAAGAGTTCTTCCAGCCTCTCTCCATAACCAGATCAGCGTAAGAGGATTACAGTGAAAACCAGAAGCTGACCTTAGGATTTACACATGAACTGAAATCAAGAAACTTAAGACATGGTGGTGAAAATCTTGACTTCACTGACTTCAGTGAGAGTTTCACTGCTGGCTTCAGTACAGTCAGGGTTTCCTATTCTACAAAATACCAGTTCATGTTACACACTCAGAGATCCACAATTTTTTCTTGTACCCTGTGCAAAATTAGATATGCACATCACGATTCTAAGAGGTGGGAATCTCCTGAAGTAAATGTTCACACAAAATACCATTTATTAAAATTCTCCTGCCATTCCATATATAATCCAAAGAGTTGCATCCCATCATCAGGTAAAGAACTCTAACCAATAATTCTTCAGCTAACTTTTCTGCAGATGCTGTATTTTCTCCACCATTCAATAGATAATATAACATTAAAGTATCACTATGTATATTCAATTCATTCAGCTGAATACAGTAGAAGGCATGTTGCTGTTTTATCATATTTCTTCTCAGAGAGTTTTTCCACTCCAATCAACCAAGCTGCAGAATAATGAAGACATTTAATCACAGGTTATTAATAATGTATCTATCATGTCTAACCCTTGAACATTAAAGGATGAGATAATTATTTCTCTGCTTAGTAAATCAACAAAGAAAGGTTTTTATTGTTTCTAATTATAGGCTAATCAGTATAAATTTGAGGCCATTAATTTGAGGCCCAAATTCTGACTGCCATCACCTTTCACATTGTTTAACTGTATTCATTAGTTTCACTGGATTTACTTTTTATTTTCTCTTTCATAAAGGAAACGTATTCTAAATATTCCACTGCTGCCTCTTCTTCCTCCCTGCCACAAATAATAGTGTTTTTCTACATCCCAGCCTCTCCAGCCTTTCCAGACTTTATCATGCCTCAACATCACCTTTACAAGTAAAGAAAAAAGTCCCCATCTGTTAAAGGGTGCATAGTTCTGTGCTTGTTGCACAACACAAATACCTAGTTAATAGCATGAAGAAAAGACTTACCTCTCACAGAAAGTGTGCAGGCAGGGAAGTACTTTGGGGTTCTTGTAACGGTCCAGGCATATGCTGCAAATCAGAAACTGCTTGTCAATCTGACGGACCACAGGACTTGGGATGTTGGAGCCTTCACTGGCCATCCTAGACCACTGACATATGGGTCCTGTTCCCTTCTACCCTGCACACTGCTGGAGGGGGGTGGGAAAAAGAAGAAAAGAAGAAGAATGGCTTATAAACACCATGAAATAACAAAATCAACAACTAATTCACTCATGTTTCATCCTTCTGCAGGAATTCGTATTTCCATATAAAACCGAAACAGTAAAGAATTAAACTTCTAAAATGATTTGTCACTGATGAGAGCCTGGGAAACAGTCAGCCAAGTCTACAACACCACACATAACACCTCTGTCTGAGCAGGCATTCTGGAAAGGCATGCTGCCTCTGGACTGAAAGAGTTACAGGGATGTCTGGTTTTAAAGAAATCACACAATAAAAACATTCTTGCACCAGTAGGTTCAGCCAGTGCTAATAAACATAGGATTTCTTAAGTCTACAGTACCGCTGGCAAAATGCTTAAACTGGAACTGCACCAGCCAGTCAAATGGCTGTGTCACAGACGGAGTTTGAAAATGGTTCACCTCATAATTTCTTCCCTTATCAGTACTGGTGTTGCCACAGATACAGTAGGTTTGGACTCCAGGAAGCCCCCGAGATGGAACCTCTAGAACCAGCCACCCCCTGGAAAGGGAGCACTCAAATTCTGCATCAGCAACAGAGGTGAGGCAGCTGAAGTGAAAATCCTCACAATAAAAGAACATGAGCAAAGAAGAGGCAACTGATAGCTGCTGAGAATCAGCAAAGGCAGGGTTAAGGATACATGAAGCACATCCAAATAATAAATGCAAGCAAAACGGCATCTAGGCAGAAAGAGTAGTAAGAACCATTTTCTAGGACTGAGGACTCTTCAGAACTCTGGCATATAAAGCATGAAATAAAAGAGTAAGAAAAAAGTCTACTGACTGACAGAATTAAAATTGCAGGTTAAAGGAACACCAGCAGGCTTGGAACACCTCCTGTCCCGGAACAAGGCACAGGGAGAGAAAAACTCAAGTTTCTTTTCAGCTGGAGGTACAGATTATAGCCAACAGAACTAGTATGTGGGAAGAGAAGACAGGGGAGGAAAAAGACGGAAGCAACCTCAGAGAAAAGTACACTGCCTGCAAAAACAGTTTAGGAAAACCTGACAAGCAGAGGCCCTGGCAGGGTGGCCCAGCAAGAGCTCCTCTCCATCAGCATTTCCAGCGGGCTGGAGCCCCGGGAGGCGCGGGCTCAGTCCCTGGGGAGCCGACCGCAGCGTCTCTGTCGCAGAACTTTCTGCCAGTCCTCCCACACCCGCAGCGAAACGGGGGCTCCTCTTCCGTGTGAGCAGCGAGCCCAGCTGGGCTCCCTCACTGCAGGTACACTCCTGAGGTAGTAACTTCTTCCCTAAACATTTTATACCCCAGTTTTTACTCATCTGTTTCAGACAATTTGATATTTGGCTTGAGGCCAGTTCAGGCTTTCCAAGACAGAAATAACAAGCGTTCTGCCTTGGTGCTGATCGCGCTCATTCAAAGGTCATTCAATTCCACACTGATTTGCATGACCTGTAGCATTTTATCGGCAGCGTTACATCAGATCTTCTCCCTGTGCACGGCACGCTAATCTAGCAGAGTTGAACTCATGCTGTCTTCACGAGCTGTGTATTTAGTTGTACAGGTATGGTTTACTTACTACATTGAGCAAGTGGCTATTTCTGGGATAATGACAGTGATTATGGATCACGCTGTACTGACTTCCCTGATAATAGGTTCCTGGGGAATCACCTTTGTGCTAGAAAATACAGCAGCATAAAGTTTTTCACAATTAAAATACCCAACAGCAGTAACTGACATGTTATTCGATGGCAAACACTTACGGCAGGCCCTTTTGTTACCTTTTTTTCCCGGAAAGGGGAATCTGCAAGGTTAAAAATTGCTGTAATACTCATAAAATATCATGTTTGTTCATGACACAAAAATTCATGGATTTCAGGATCAATTTCAGGATTGATCATTTTTTTCACTTTTTAAATTTCTTTCCCCATAGTAAGACAAAATGTGATTATTCCATAAACACAAATTAACTTTACCTATTTAAATGGCATAAATCACACACAATAAACCTTAGGAGATCAATTAGGAATCCACGTTACTTTTTAAAAGCTCAAGTTAAAAATGGCTCTACAAGAAGTGGAACCAAAATATCTAGCTTTCACAAAACGGAGTAGAAAGAACACACTATCAAGTATGCATTAATGTATTCATGCATTTGGCAGCATAACATGTGGAACTTTAGCGATGCATTTCAAAAGAAAATTAATTTCACCACTGATAACAGCTGTGTGTGCCTCCCACTCTCCCTACCCAACAGTTAGGGGTGGGGACCCAAACAAAACAGGGAAGATAATCAGAAGCTGGAAGACTTCTTTGAGAAGGAGGACACTGACATGTTACAAACAGTATAATTTTTTGTTATAGACTAAGCACAGACTATTTAAAAAACAAATTGTACTTAAGATATGAAAGAATAGGTCTCCAGTGAATGCTGCCTGTCATTTACCAGAAGAAAGTTCTCTAGGAACCAGATATTTTCTGTAATTTCACCTTTCCACTATCAAGTACAGCTACACCAGCAAATAATTGTTTATATAAAAGGAAAACTCCTGCTGCCTGAAAAATTTCATATTGATTTCAACCTGATCTTCATCTTAGTCATTTACATTCCCCCAATCTCACCGCAAAATCAGGTGATTCTTAGTGATTCATTCACAAAGCTCATTCAAGTCACTTTAATTTTCAAATGTTCACGCTTTAAGCTTTGTCAGTGAAAGAACCCATTAACAGTTCACAAATATGTGCTTTTAATATTCGATGTTTTGTCTCGAACGCAGCAGGCCATGATTGTCATTTATCCCCTGTGGTCTCATAAATCAGGTTTAAAACATGCACCTGAAAATAGAATTTCACCAGTACATTTCAAGCTTTGGCCACTACCTGGAAGAATAATTTCTTACACAAGTGGTTCATTTTAAAAAGTTTTTTGAGTATGGGGTTTCCAGGATTCTGCAGCCCCCCTGAGCCAGCTCCACCCTTGATGCAATTTTGATGAATGTGATGTATGAGAAGGATGATTTTGCCCATTGACTCAATGAAAGCAACTGTACCATTAAAGACTATTTGAGGAAAAGCTGGAGATTTTAGATGATACTTTTGAATTTTGCCAAAGACAGCATTTATTCTGATTTACTGCAGTGCTTGCAGCAGTTCCTCAGTACAGCAACATAAGTTTCAGTTATATTAGCAGTGTGAGATTTTGCAAAGTAACACTATGTTTACAAGGAAAACATTTTTTAGTAGCATCTTCTGAGCTTGGAAACTGCCAGAGCTCTTTTTGGAGGCTTATTCTGTCTCACAATCTAATAAAGAGCAGCTGAAGCATGAGCTCTGAGAGCAAGACTGAGAATCACTTCTCCATATATTTACACTTCATAATTTCAACATGCAAGCCAAAGTTTGTAAAACATTGCACCAAATGACATAAAATCCCACCCATTTATCTATAAGAAGCACACACTGGAAACCCAGTTCACTTTTGCTAAATCAAGTGCAGAAAAGGGTTCTGAAATGTATACTCTTTGTCTTCCCTTTGAGGCTCAAGGGTTGTTATGTTTCCAGCCACCCCCAGAGTAACATTATTCTTTTTCCTTCTGCTTGGAGATACGACTATTGATTTCCATTCAAGATATACCATACAGCAAAGAAAGGAGACAACAATGGCTCCCCAAGCTAGTGGAAAGCTTTGCCCTGCCACACATGCATGCCTTTGGGAACGAAAGTCAGCGTGCAGCCCCACCCATACGAAAAGAACTTCCTATAGTATTAGAAAAGGGAAAAAAAAACCATGAGGGTACAGCAGATAACAATTCCAGAAGAGTTGTTTCAGACAAATAGAGCCACATAATAGGGAAGTCCACCCTTTCTACAGGCATCTTCAAATGAGCTCTGGAATTCCTCAACAGTTACCAAATTCTCTATTAGCTTCCGTGGTCCGACCAAGAAAAAGACATTGGGAAAGCTTGTAACTGTCTGTTCAGTTCCTAGGATTTATTCCTAAAAGAGCAGAACTCTCTTGCTATCATCGAACTCCACCCAGCCAGAGCTGCAACTAGCCTGAAAGCACAGCCTGAGGAGAACAAATTGCTTGCAGCTTGTTCATCCTCTTCTTATCAATGGTATTCACAACCCAGAGGGTCTATTCACATATTATGAATGAATAGGTTTCCAATGGCAACGTCTCCAAAGGAACAGTTAGGCCTCGAGTGCTGAAGAAAGGGTGGGGAACCTCAATAACGTGGCTTCAAGGATTGGGGGAGCGGGGGTTTAAAAGTCCTTAAAACACATATATCGCCTGTCCGCAGTCTTTAGGAATAAAGAACAGATTCAAGCCATTTCTAGCAGCAGCACCAAAATTAGCAGATACAGAACACAACAAGCAAATTAATAATCATAACCGCCACACAGTCCACCTGTGGAAAAGGCTTGATAAGCTAAATTTGCATTCTTTTCTCTCCCAGTCTTGCAATCACTTTGGTGCCTTGCTTAAACCACAGCAACCCTCTTCATTCTTACAGCATGCAGAAGCATAATGAACGATCAGGGGCCGAAACAGAAGCAGCAACCCAGCAGCAGCCACCAGGAATAACACTGAGCAAACTTGAGCATTTTCGACCTACCCATCTTTGTAGAAAAATAGCTTAATCAGTGCGGTGCTGAGGATAAAATCCTTGCAGGGACGGAGCTGCAGTTCCGCAGTAATCCAAACGAACAAATCATCATCTGTTAATATTTCAAGCCTCACGCGTAAAACTGTTTAAGAATCCCTATCACAGCATAGTCATTACTAGGTGCACAACAGATTTTGTGCTCTAAGGAATGACGCTCCATTCCACAAAGAGGACAGGTGGAAAGAAAAAATGAAAGGATATGAGGAGGCCCAGTGAAGTCGTCACGAATTTTTTTTTTTCCCCCGGGTCATTTACAAGTGGGAGACCCCTTCAGGATTCAGACCAATCAATCTTTATTTAGCACATCTTTTTCTCACTCAGCCTGTGTAGAAAAGACTGCAGCAAACGGCGCAAGGGCTTGTGGGATAGGGATGCAGCAGAGAGCTGCAAGGAGATTCGCTGGGGCTGTTTTTTCCCTCCCTACTCAGCAATCAGCTGTTCCGAGGCGCTGCGCAGGGCCATTGAATTTGGTCACCAGAATGTTATTACAGGATTAGCAGGCGGAGACGGCTACCACGGTGCATCTGGCATGTCAATGCAGCTAAGAAATACATATGCAAATATTACTCGCAAATCGGGAAAAGGATTTCACTCCGAAGGGGAGAGTAGATATTACGTAAGATCTATTTACCAGGACAGTCGCCACAGAGGAAATGAAAGCACTTTCGTTTATAAAGGAGATAAAGCTTAACACTTAACGATTCCACACTGATTTTTCCAGGATTCAGAGTATTTCTCGGAACGTAATTCTTCCCTGCTCCAACTTTCAGCAACAACAAAAGACCCCACAAACGCTCTTTGTCTCTCCATATGTTTAAAGCAGAAGCAAAGAACCTCTTCAGAAAGCTGTGCTACTGACACACAAACCAGCAGCAGTTTCTTCTTCTATGGAGCTGCGTGTGTGACCTGACTCAGACTCAAGTCTAATATTTAAGGCAGAAATTAGTAAACGCATATTCAAGGAACATGAGAATCAAAGCTAACAGTCTCTCCAACTTTTGTACAAACATTAACGCAAAGGTGTATTCTCTTAGCTGGTCTATAGTTTAAAAAAATGTAAAAATTACAGACCAATTCAGATTTTACTAGGCTATTACCAAAGGAAATAAAGAGAAATTTGGTGTCTGGTATTTTTCAGCTAGGCAGAGAAGGCTGTTAAAAAGATGCTTGTGAATACACAGACACTACTGAAGTAAAGCAACACAGAATTAGCTTTGTCTTCCAGTATAACAGCTGGTGGGTTTTGCAGACAAGGTAGTATTTGCATCTCTAAATACACTGAATCTTTTCTTTTGAAAAAAACAAATTATATGCAAGTATTTCAGCTAACTGAGGCTAACAAAGCTTTCCACAAATAAGAGGACACAAAAGTCCATTTGCATAAAGAACAAAAAATGGAGGGTTTAAATACTGTCTGTGCTACTCTGACTTAATTAGGACAGAGACAGTTATTTTAGAAGTTTGAAACATGTCCTAAGCTCTTTAAGCACAGTTTCCAGAATATAATATTATTCCATTCTTGGACTGATGAGGTAAATAGTATTAATAATCATTTAGCATGATTGAAATGAAATCTTAATTCCTGTTAAAAATATAGATTCTGTGTATCATTCACTTTCCACTAGGCAAACATTTAGCCAGATTGGTTTTATGCATCAGTCAGATCCAGCCTGGTTTCCCTGAGTAATGCCCACAGGGCGAAAGCATGTTGTAATCCAGTTTATAACCTGAAATGGCAAGCATCAGGCAGCGTGTGTGCGTCTGTTAGGATTTTGGGTGCTTGTGCCAAAATACTGCTCCTCTGATCCCCGCTCCTCTGATTCCCTCAACATGGGCTGAACTCTATCAAAGAGAGTGAGCAAGGTATGTTTCCTTTTAGCTCCAACATTCAGCAGGTCAGGAAAAGAAGGCATCTGCACAGCAGGAGTCACAGTTCTAAAAAAGGCCAGCGATTTCAGGCACATTGTCGGAGGGGTGTTTTTTTATGATTGGTTGGGTTTTTTGTTTTCTTTTTAAACTGTCTAGAGAACCCCTGTTGCAAAGAGCAAGCAACATATTTCACTCCGCAGCAAAGAGATCCAAGGCCTTCTGTTTCTGCCACTGGAACAAGACACACTTAAAACAAAAATTGAGAGACAAAATTCAGGAGTGGCACCCCCACAACCAACATGGAAGACTCTCTGACAGAAGCATGCAGACATTGCTTAGCTGCTTGCTTTTCCCTGCTCATTTCAAGCATCAAATTTATGAATACTAAACCAGAATGAGAAGTGTTGCTCAAATTACTATTTACATTTACAGTCAGTATTAAGGACTACATACCCCTTGAATCAGAACCGATCTCATAAGGTACCTCATGGCCAAAGGAGACTTGCAAGAGTCACAGCTGCAACCACTCTCACAAGTATCTATATCTCCAAATGAGAGATTGCTTCAAAGTGCAGTTCTCTTATAATTAACCCTGAGAAGCTTCCAACTGACAATGATCTGATATTCTGCAAATAATCCTCTTTAACAAAACAAAAACGTGGTACAGTGGCAAGGAAAATGAGACAGAAGTCATAGCATTTCCCTTGAGATTTTTGTTCTTACATGTTGAATGTTGATATGTGGGTTTCCTCTCCCTGGTGAAGAGAAAATGGATTCATAGCTCAGTGAATAGTCTTGCACTTCACCCCCATAGCAGTTACCCCCAGCAGTTACTTCCTCCTTTCAAACAGGTTTATTGCATGTGTATGTCTTTTGAGCTGGGAGATGGGAGTGAGGGTGGTTGTCACCTGCTTCGTTTTGTGTTGCTGTTTGGTGTTTTGGTTTTTGTTTGTTTTGTTTTTTTAAAAATGAACAGGCTACTTTCCCTCAGAAATTTGCTGCACTCATCACTGCTGCTGATTCTACCAGTTCTGGAGAAGCAAAAGTATAGTACGTGCCATCTTCATAGTGCCATGGAAGAGTGGTTTAGCCTCTGTTACCACCCCCTGTAGTTGTCATGGTTTTGGAATAATTTATTCTTTTCCCTGTTCCAAACACAACCTGAGTTCTTATTACTAGGGAGCCCATAAATAGTAAGTTACAAAAAACCCCCACAGCTAATTTACAATCCATAGGTAGATACTGGTATATCCTTCCCTAACATTAAGTCAGTCATCCAAGCACTCCAGGTTAAGATTAATGGTCTGCACTGAAGCCTCTACTATAAATTGACTGAAGGGAGAGTAGTCTAGCTCAGCTTGCTGTACAAGAGATTTTAAGGTCAGCAGAAAAAAACCAAAAAGAATGGGTTAGCCCAAACTAAATGGCCAACTAATACAGTGCTGGCAATTAAGAGTGAGTGGAAAATAAGAGGTGGGAGAGACCAGAAATCAATTACCCAGAGCCGCCATGCTGGGAATGAGGTCTAGTTTTGGAACGCAAATAGAGGAGAGGATAGGCTCTTACAGCTGTCACCCAGCTCCACGTCTTTAATTTGACCCTGGCACCAGGAAAGCAAGTGGGGTGAAACAACCAAGCTCTGTCATTGTAGGACCGTGCCCACACTGGGCATCCAGGGGCCTTAGACATCCTGACGAGACAGCGGCGGTGGAGGCGCCTTTACCTTTCCCCACTGCAGCTGTGCACCCATGCAGACCCAGCAGCTCCTGCAGAGCAAGTGCAACTTCCAGCCCTGACCCCACATGCTCCACAGCCCAGGCTGTAGCTCACATGGGCTGTGAAGAGCCACAGCTTCCTCCCATTGTGGGCTTGTAGCTAGAGGGCACGTCTGTCCCGAAAGGAGCTCTGCTAGGCCCTGGTTCCTCCCCACCAGCCACAGCCTGGAGCCACAGTTACTCCCCAATCTTGTGATCTAGTGGAGCAGACACTTTTCCCCAAAGCCTGTGACCCAACACATGGCTTATAATAGCCTGGGAGGCAAAAAACTTGAAAGGTTTGCCTGGAATGTGATGCTGGGCTGCTGGAGACCTTCCCAGCCCGCCAGCACCCATCCTCCTATGCCTTTGCCGCTTTATTTTATTTCCTTCTACCTTCTGCTTACGCCTAGTTTAGCTTGCCAAGGTTGTGCCTTTTGCAGCACAACTGCAGCCAGGCTGGGACAGCCTGGCCTCCCTCCTCAGCCAGCCCAAGCCTGGCTGATGTGACTGCACTCTCTGCCCATCTCCAGCACTGATGCTGCAAGTCAGGCTGCACCAAACACAAACTGGTTTTTTCCCCTGTGTTATTCTTTCTCTTTCCCCTTTTGGGTATTTGCCATTGAGGTCGCAGGGGCAGGCACTACGGTCACCAGAAACAAGCTCTGTATTCTGCCATTGCTTCTGCACGGCAATGGGCTCACCTTCAGGACTACTGTCAGATGTTGATGTCATGAATTAGGTTTCTTTTAAAACCTTTCAACTGCTAAAGGCACAGGAATAACAGGAATGGAAGCCACTGCCACAAATGAAAGCCTTGCTTAATAGTTTTACATGTTTAATGCTTTGTTGCTTTTTCCTCCTTCCTTTTCTCAGTCTGTAATCAAAGCTTATAACAGGGTGAACACCTGAAATACATGGCTGGGCCTCTTAAAACATCAACACACTAATGCTTTATACTCTGATTTGTAGAGGAGGGAAGGGTTATGGCTGGCATCTAACACCCCTTTTCTTCTCTCTCCCCGTCCCCATGTCTGCCTCCCTCTGCAGTACCCCTTCTCCACCACCCTTCTGTGGTGCAACAGTCCTGCTTCCATCCCCACAGACCCCATGTCCTAACTGGCCTGTTGTTGGCTGGAGGGGCAACCTTCTGGTGTCTGCCCTGTACACTCAAGGGCCAAGACTGGAAGGTTAGAGCTCGTGTGATCACACAGTCATCCCTCAACTGAGATACGAGTTTAAGGCTGTCTGGCTGAGGTTCTCAGGACCTCAGTTTGGGTCAGGGCCTTGCACAATAAATTCCAACACACTCGGAGCATGCTGGATTTACTGCACATGCAAGCACAATTTGAGTGCTTGCAGTGGAAGTCCAGGAAACCCCAACCAAATGGTCAACATTCTCACAAATCAGATTTCAGAGAGAAGGGGGAGGAAATGAGAGGAAAAGGGCATGCCAAGGGAAATTATAGGATTAAACTGTCACATATCAGTTATATGACAGCCTCAGAGCTGTCATTAGGGCCTTTTCCATGTTTAATAAAATGTCATATTCTCAGGTGAGCTATTAAAAAAATAAAATATCTGCAGGGAGCTATGTCCAAGTAATTATTTCACGGGCTAGACGTTGTGCAGGCCTAAGTAAAAGGATTTT